CTATAGAAAAACTTGTATTAAAATCATTTTCCCTAATCTCGTTAACTTCAAACTTCTACCCATAGCTAGTCTCCCCCCTCAGTAAAATCTACGCCAACTCATTATTCAAGGAAACCCTCCTCCTTAGTTGATCATTTTATTATCAACTATTGAGAGCAAGTTTCCCCAGAGAAAAGCAAAACAAAGTAGAATTCAAAACACAAGGAACCAAAAACCTAATAAAGCGACACCACCAATTTCGTTAAAGATCGGACAAAGGCATCCCTGTGTATTTTTCGTGGCTTTGGTCCAAAAAGAAACTAGAAACACTATCCTTTCTCATACTAGTTCTGAAGGAAGATAACAATCATCCAAAATTCTTGCATTCTGCTCTAATTAAATACACCAAAGAATTGCCATCAACGCACAATTTCAAAGGGCCTTAGCTGCCTTGCTAGGTAGCACGGACACTTCATTTTTGGCAGAGTGTCAGTGTCGGACACGCTTCAGACACGCTCAGACACGTGTCGGACACATTAAAATAAGAGTCCAATTTTTTAATTATTAAATTTTTTTTAGGATACATGGCCGACACGTTGGGATACGCTGGGGATACATTTTGATATTTATTTTTAATTTTTTGAGAACTTTTCAAATAATTTTATAATTAAGAGTTGTTTTTATAATTTTAAAGGGATATGAGTCACAATCATAGTATAAAATAAGTTATAATCATTACATTGAACATAAGACATGAATTTAATATAATTTTGGATACGAATACGAACTTATATACAAATGGAATAGTCTTTTAATATGAAAGTAATGTGACAAAAAATGGGATTACAAAATTGGAGATCTTAAAATTTGATCAAAATTAGTATTACGAAATAGAATATTTTTTAAAGTAAAAGTTGTAGAAGTCATTGATTATTAACTCATGGATGTTAATGTTGAATGTGTATCAGTATATCTTATATTATACTTTTTATGCCATGATATCATAATGTAAATTTTTAGAATTAGGGAAATAATGAATTAAAAGATTATTATGATAATATTTTTATTTTATCACATGATTTTATATAAATATATATATAAAATACATATTATTTAACGTATCGCTAACGTGCGCCTTGTTATTCCTAAGACCCATAACTTGAACTACAACAATTTCTCCACTTTAGAAGGATAAATTCAAGCCTCACCAATCACATTAAATAAGTTTTACTCAAATCCCATGCAAAAAAAAAATGAATCAATAAATTGTCATTCAACCCTCTATTTGTCAAACAAATAAAGTAAAGATCAAGACTCAATATTTTATACCTCCTCACCAAGGCTTTTAAAATGGAGATTCGATTGACGAGGGAGGCTAAAGGATCGGGATCATAGAATCGGATTGAGAACCATAAGATCCCACAAAGTGAAACAATATGACTAAAACTATATATAATAATATAGACCTCTAACAAAGAGAAATAAAACAAGCCAAGTATATATGTAACATGAAGAAATGTTTGGAGAAACATACAGAACTTAGATATATGATTAAAACTTGAGAAACTACAATGTAGATGTGGGAGAGGGTAGAAAATTAGAGGTGAGTTGTTAATCTTGGAAACCGTCAACTACTCCCTCCAAGAGTCAACAAGAGAATGATGAGATAACCATATATTTTCAAATCAAAACAACATAGGTCTCCACTAACCAGAAAGGACTTAAGTAATAGGAAAGTGGTTAGTGTATGGTCTAGACATTACCCTTCTACAGCAAATTCCCAAGCAAGGTGTTCGGGGGAATTTTTTCAAGGTGTTTCGATAAGTTGTGAAATTTTTGCAAAAAAGTTCTAAATTTTCATCCTTGTTTTCATCCCGATTCAAAAATATTTCCAAAACATTTTCATTTGACTAGAACAAAATTTTGATCCTTGTTCATACCCAACTTGTAAACAAAAGGATAAAAAATGCTACCACTGCATCTTCCCGTGAAAAAATGAGTCAATTTGTCATCTAATTTCGCAAAAAACATGCAAATCAAATTCTTGTTCAGCTCTTCTTTGATCAATTGTCAGTTAATGCCAACAAGTATGGTCCATCTATCATGATGGACTGGATTATTATCAATGCTGATAATGACTTTATTATTACAATCCTGCCTCATAAGTCTATCATCATGGATTCCTAGCTTTCCTAGTAAGATTTAGAGCCATATAAGCTCACAGCCTCCTAAGTCATTACTTTATGCCACCAATTACAATACAATAGCCTGAAATAAATTGTCTATAATCCATTGAACCCGCCCAATCTGTATCGATTAAATACGATATCTTGCTTCAAAGTAAGAAGTACGAGGATCATCCATACACCAACAAACAACGCCGATTTCATAAGCAACATCTAGTTGAGTATACGAAAGATGTATGAATCTCTTGGTACCTCTTTATCAACAACATCACCAACACCATCACTATGTTGATGATTAGATCCAATAAGAAGATCTGAACATCAACTCATGTCTAAGCTCTATTTTGTCCGTTGAACCAGCACATTTACCCGCCTCTCTCCATAAGATCTCGACACAATGATTATGGTTCTAATAATTGGCAATCTGGCAAGACATGCTGAAGCATTTCTGGTTATTCAAATATTTATTTCCACATGTCAGGCTTTTCTTTTTCTAGAAAACTTGGAAATGGATAAAAGCACCTCAAATTATGAATCACACTATTACCACCTTTTGGGTGAGGTGATTTCAAAATAAGTTTAAACCCGCAAAAGGGAGAAGGGCCATATACCAGCAACAAAAAAGAAAATGGTAAGGACCATACAAATGACAAAATGCACTCAGCGTGCATGGAGGCGCCACCCAATCAGGAAAATCCATGTATAGGACCATGGAGGATACTAAATGCCAGTTGGGAGGGAAATACTTAATTAGATTCGAGCTGCCATTCGCTTTTTGAATATGAAATTCCCTTTGAGCGGCGGGGCATATTTGTTTATAAAAGAAAGCCCTATTTTTGTTAGTTGTTAATGCGAGGAAATCTTTACGTATTCTATAGCGATTAGTAAATCTGGAATTGAAGCCATTATGAACTGTTAAGATTCAAGAAAAATATTGTGATTGACGAATTTTGTGAGGTCATCATATATCTTGTATCTCAACGAAATCCATGATCAAAAGACTTTTGAAGATTGAAGACCGAAGTGAGATATGATAAAAAAGCTCAAGCTACATTGCAAAGACATTTGAAGAATTCTTGCATCCTATCAAGCTTAAGGGAAGTAAGTTGACCTCAATACCTAATCACTCTTGTTTGATTTAATTTAGGTTGTAAAATTGGATTTACAGTGTAAGTATTTAATCTGTTCATAACTCAAGCATTTGTCGAGTTAAAATGTTTATAAAATTTTAAAGTTTTAGTTTTCGAAAGTAGTTTTTAAAATGAGTCATTCGATGGAGGCTTTCTAGGTACATGTTTGTTTTGGAGCATTGGTCTTTTAAGAAAACCAATGGATAGCACTCTCTAGCACTCTCAATGAACTCTTAGGACTTAGGAAATCGAGTAAAGAATGGAATTTCAATTCCAATGATCAATGCTCACCACAACGCTCCAACGCTGCCCCTAAGTTGGGGGCAGTTTGGTTTTCAAGTAGCCAACGCTCTCTGACCACTCTCCACAGAGCTCGAGAGCTACATAGCGGATAGGTTTCCAAACTCACTAAACTACCTATTGTTTCCTATTGCTATATAAAGAGGACGACCCCTTTGACTTATAGACGGGACAAGGGAGTTAAAAAGACATTCAAGGGTTTAGAGAGGTTACTCATTCATTGGAGACCACAACCTAGATAAAATCAAAACCCAATATCTTTAACATCAACAAAAATCCTGATAATGAATTTGAGCATCTATTGTTGAAGATCTTGAACACCAATCAAGCCCAGAATGCAAAAAACCCAAGAAGGAGACCCAAGGATCAAGTGGAGCGATTCCAAGAAAGAAGAAGAAGGATTATACTAGCAGATCGTGTATCTCGGTTCGTAGCCCTTAAAGATAGTTGGCAAGGCGCCCGTAGTATAGTTTAGGAGTGGAGATTGAAGAGAGGAAGCTTACTTCTAGCCATAAAATTGGTTGAGGTATAAGTTTTCGAACTTATAATCTAAGATTGAAACTAGTGAATTAGATTAGGTGGGCCAAGATTGATGCCGTAGTTTTTTCCAAGAGGGTTTCCACGTAAAAATTGCCAGAATAGTGTGATTGTTTTTCTTTGCATACCTACAATTTTTTGTTCCTTCTTTATGCATGATTGGATGAATGGTTGAATCTTACGTGTGTTGATTGGACGGATAAAATTGCATAAATTGTGATTGATTGGTAACAGTGAATTGTGTTGAACCAATTTGCATTGAAATCAACATATGCATTCACTCATTAGGTTAAAGGTCTTGATCACATAGAAGTTTAAGTTATAATTGCATGATTTAAGTTTTATTTGGGCATACTCCAGCATTCGAGTGCATAAGCTCTATTCACCCCCTCCCCTCTATCACATTGTCTTGCTTCAATGTTTCAAGGTCGATCCATATTTCGCACTCTGATGAACTTCTTTTTTCCTTCCTTCTTTTTATTTTTTCTTGTATGACTACTGTGAATTGAGCACTAGAGAGGAAGAGTTACCAGAACATATTTTCCATTATTAATTCTGAACAATACCCCAATCTCATAATCCTCCTTACATGATTTTAGTAGTATCCTGAATATGCTAGTATCCGTTGATCAAAGATGTTTCATCATTCCCACTGAAAAACATTCATAACAGTATAGTTGCTGTAAACTCTCCACAAAAGCATAAGGTACAGTTGCATATAGTAATCAGAAGCCATCAAATTGGAAGAGAACTTAAGCAATCACATTGAGATCATATTTCCGTCATTGATCATAAGGATTATGGGGAAATAAATGCTTACAAATAAAAGAAAGAAACAAGGAGATAAAGAACTGTATTTTCTTTTTTATTAAAACACAAAAAGAACATTCAGAGACAACAAAAAAAAAAGGATTGATTGGAACTTTACCATTATAATGTTGAGATCTTCCTGAGCAATATTTTCCAAAGAAACTTGTTTAATTGCAACGGTGTCTCCATTCTCCAAATCCAAGCCCTTGTAAACTCGACCATAAGCTCCTTTCCCAATCTCATCTCCAAGCATCTTCAACAATGAGAGACCCCACATTCAAAACTCAATAGTTCCATACCAACAACTATAAATGCTACAGACAGGGAAAATGAAAAATGATGTAAAAGAAATTATTTAACCCAAATCTATAATTAAGAGGGCTATGAACCTGCATTCAGATAAAAGAGCTCATCCTTGACATTACTCTCATAAAAGAGGGATCATAATTAAAGGCATAATGATTCTTATCCAGCTTGATTTCTGTTGACTGAGAGTACTGAGAGAAGGAGGACGAAAACAGACATAACAATCGGGAGTATTTGCACCACTGATTGTATTTGAGCACACAATCACACTTCTTAGCTGGCACTTCTAGACTCTAGTCTTTTACCATTACACAGTGCTACTCTCGCAGTAGCCGCATTTTCACACAATCGCTCTATCTCGATGATACTAATGTTGTTCATATCCGAATTCTCTTAGCAGCCAAACAGAGGGTGACAAGAATAACATGGTATCGTCTACCAAGCAACTGTATTATGCTCAGAAACCCAAATAAATAATTACATAAAATCCAAAATCTTAACAGTCTGCTTGGTTGCCGAGAAAATGCGGGAAACCAAAACCAAATATGAGGAAATTCAGAGTTGCATTTTTCCTTCTCATAACAAATTAAAAAAAACCAAAAAATGTTCGAAAATAACAATAGTACTTACATATTTGTTGTCGAGAGTCTTCGATTTGTGGAATGCTGACGACGGCGTTTGGCGAGCCATGGCTCTTCCACTCCGTCTAATTCTCTTTCTGAACGAATGGGTTTTCTAAGAACCCTAGAATTGTTCCATCGTGCTCAGTGAGATTACAGATAGAGCTGATCACGACGTCGTTTAAAGGTTATGTCAGAACATTGACAGAAAGTGTTTCATCAGACGCCAAAAGCTCCGGCGAGTTTCCAAGATAGAAAAAGGTCTAAAGGACCAAATTCAGAAGTCTAATTCATTGGTTATGGGTTTTGTATCAATTTCGACGTGGACAAGTACGATATAGTGTCAATGACTTTTTGGTCAATTAACCGTAATTTAAAGGAGAGTTAACCTCAACTTGTTTTTGGAAGGAGCAGGGACATAATTTATGAACATAATTTGAGAATATAATTAGTTGTTATTAATGATATAATAATGCGACAATAGGACTCATTATTAAATATATTTTACTATAATTTCATTGAAGATAACTCATTATATCCTTAAATTATGTCTTTCAAATATATCTCAATAGTATTAGTATTTTTTAAATAATATTAGACTTTTAATTTATATTCTTAAAATTTAAAAATATTAATTTATTCCTTAAAAAAATAAATATGTGTTAATGTGCACCTAAAATTAACTGACATCTATTTTGTCGTTAAAAAAGTTTGAATTAATTATACTTTACACCCCTCAAATTTTAAATATTTTATATTTATGATATAAAAAGAATTTTATCAATTAATACTCGTTAAATAGCTCTCAATTATATGGTGTCATAACATTTTTGTGTCGTGTTCGAATCAATAAAAAATATTTTTAACACAAAATATTTTTGTGTCAAGTCAATTGCGTTATGTTATATATTTTACATTTGCGACAATTCATATAATACTATTTAATATTTTTTAAAATTTTAAAAATGCTTTTTTTTTTCCTATAATACTCGTTAAATAACTATTTTTTATCTACAATTGTATTATTCGTATTTAACTTTAATTTGATCGAATAACTAAAAGATTTGTATTTAATCGTAGACATAAAATATATATTTAACAAGTATTGTATGCAAAAATAGGTATTTTATAATTTTTTAAAAAAATTTAAAAAAAAAAAAATTTATTGACTTGAACATAACACGAAAATGTTATGATACAATACAATTGAAAACTATTTAATGAGCATTAATATATGGAATTCTTTTTCGATCATAAGTATGAAATATTTAAACTTTAAGGGGTATAATTTATAATTAAGCTAAACTTTTTAATGATAAAATCAACGGAGTTAGCTCCACTTGCACATTCATATGAATTTATGTCTTTCAGAGTATAAATTGATATTTTTAAATTTTGAGAGTACAAATTGAGATTTGAGTGATTTTAAGGTAATATATTAATGTATTAATTTTATCAATCTAATCTCTAAATTATTCAATTCGAATCATTTTGACTCCTAAATAGACATACCGTTAAATTTTTTTATGAAAGTGGTCACGTGTCATTATTTTAGACAATATCACATGTCCAAATGGGATTATTTTGTCAAAAACTCAACGGTCAATTTATGTGGAGACAAAAATGACATGAATTAAATACTTTAGAAACTAAATTGACAAAATTAATACATTAAAAATTAAACTAATAAAAAATATATATTTTAAGGACTAAAAGTTCTATTAACCCTTTAAATTACCTAAATGTCCTTGAAATTGTGCTATTGTTTACTTTCCGGTTTAGTTCTTACACAGAATTTTATAGGATGAAGTTATTTCCACCCAACTACTAATCATTTGGTTAATATATTATGAGTGAATTAAATACTTTGATTTGATTATATTATGATTGAATTATGTAGTAGATTATTTCAAATGCGTATATTTATCGTATATTTTTTATACTATGTATCTATATTACAAATGTATTTTAATACGTCCCAAAAAAAGTGATCCAAACCAAATGAATTATAATTCAAATTTAACATCGTAACCCCACATCTAACAAAACTCAGTCGTTAATGATCGATGATAGACTTCATCTGTAACACGTCTCTCACTCCCATTTCCATCGTTCTTCTGCTCTTCTCTTCGCGAATACCAAATACCAATAGAGGAGTTATTCTTCTTTGCTTCAACGTCAACCAAACAGCAAGATTACTGCATCAATTTAAAGCATTAATCCATAACCGGTCTGGAAAATGTTTCTCGGATGTGTTTTTAAGCACATAATTAAGGGGCCTCTTGTTTTTGCAATGAGTTTTGATAATGTTTTAGATTTTCCTTAACAGAAAAAAATTAAGAAAATATCTTATTCAATTTTTTGATCATCCAACCTTATTAGATTTTGCATCAACAAGTGTATTATGGTCCATTAGATTTGATTGTTATTGGTATTTGACGTATTTTTGGATTATGAGCGTGTCAAAGTTTGATTCGACTTAAAATCCAAACACATATAACTTTCTTTATTCAAAAGAATATGAGGTTCTAAAATCGTGCCTATTCAAGCGATTGTAACGAGCGTAAGACTACCTCTGAGTTATTTTCTATGTCTTATGGTTCAAGAATTTTAAATAATTTCCCAAATAAAAGCGTAATGGGCTAAACTATAAAGAGAACATAGAGAATGAAAAGTAGCAAGTAAACTGAATTTGAATCTGAAAAACAAAACGAGTACTGAACATAACATTAAATGAAAGTGATACAAGATCATCAGAGTAATAATTACAAGAAAAGTAAAATTGCTCAAAAGCAAAAAATAAGTATAAGGTAGGATGACTCTGTGAAAAGTTTGTGTGTTTGATCATAAATCTTTTCTCAGTGGCCTAGCATCTGTTATTTATAGAGATGGCTTTTAACTGTCAACCCATCTTTTCTAACCATTATTGTGATCATGGTCTTGTCCCTCGAGATGCGTGGATGTGCACTGAACTGTCTCTAATTGGCTGCATATGATGTCACTTTTGCTTGTTTTCATAGATTCTAGGAGTCATATTTATCTAACTTTTTTGTTAGTAGTGGACTCTCACAAACTCATTTGAAACCATTGGATCTCTTCCACATGTTTCCCTCTGATATTGCTTCTTTTGTGTAAATATTACCCTCATATGAGGTTCACATGCATTTACCTTGAGAGTCTCTGCATTTCAATTTTCATAAGCCTCTCCAATTGACAAATTGGCTCAGTGGTAACCTTGTCCGTGCATGAAATACCCCATTCTCGATTAGGTATCATGGGTTACTAGTGTTAAGGCAATCAAGAGTACTATATAACATCGCTTTGGCATTTATGATGTCATAAACTTATCATTATCACAATGTTTATTGACAAGTCATTGCTCAACATCGATCTCCTATTTTGGTCTATGGTGAATAATGCATTTTACCTTCGTTTTGGCATGATGGGCCACACGGTCTATGATATGTCTGCTCTTCTTGGCCTTTCTCTATTCTGGGTTGAGCCTAACACTCTGCTTACACATACTAATGTAAGCTATACATTTTCAGTTAACGTACATAACAAGCCAATTACCATCTATTCTCTTTTCATTGCAGGCTGTTGTGACCATGATGGTTCTTTAGCGTCAAATTAAGAGCATATTTCATTCCTGCTTTACTGGCTTAACCAGTTATTTTTATGCCCTTCGTCATACAAAGTGACCAAGAAATATATTATGTTAGTCGTTTATCTGGCTACGAGAGCTTCCTATGCCCTTGCTCCTATCATGCTCGCCCACTTCTATCACGAGACATAAGAGATGGTGACATCGAAGATGCAGAAGGGTCCCTCTAGGTGCTTTAGGTATGGCTTCGTGCTTATTTTTCAGTGTTCTCCATCTTGTTTACCGATAACACCTCTTTTTCTTATGGCTACCTATTTTCCACAACCCTTTCTTGAGAATAGTCATTCGCTAATTGTTTTTCTTCTTTGTATAACTTGAATGGCTCATGGACCATTTGAATGTCATTTGCCCAAAATTGGGGGCTAAAATGGTTCATTTATAAGCCTGGAGAAACTCTAACTAACGTTGATACTTCTCACGAGGATGCTTGGTTTTCCTATATCCTCCAATGAGACTTGCATTAGGCCTTGGCCCGACTTATAGCGCCAATGCTCACTACGGCATTGAGATTTACATGCCTCAATGGTTTATTCGCCAATTCAGCCTAACGCAATAAATTCCTTATCCTTTTGCTCGCACTCTCAATATTGACTACATTAATCAGCCTAATGTGACTGATGTGAATGTTCAAGAAGTCAATTATCGTTACTCTCTTACTCGTCGCTCCTTTCAAACGAGCTATTGCACCGAGTCGTTCAATATTTCGAAGATTGCCAAGGCTTGTTGGAAATGATAAGCTTCTCAACAATTTGATCATGAAATGTCCACTGTTTTTAACCACGTGAACTTTCCATCACGAGGTCAGTCATCCCCTAGGGTCTGGCGGGTTAATACTTCCTCTTCCGTTGTTATTCCTCTTTAGGAAGTTGACCTTGATCTTGCAACCTCTGTGGACCTAGCTTCCCTGATATACCTACTTCTCCAACATAACTTCCCTACAAGGACAAGTGGCTATGTTCTTTCACACCTCCCTCCAGATTTGTTTCTCATGCCCAACTTGATGATGATGTTCCCCTTATGTGTCGTGTTCATCAGCATGATAACAATCTTCCTTCTATGACCCTCTTGGTCGGCGTAAGGACCTCCCAAGATGCAATCTTTGGAAACCTCGATCCCCTCAGCCCAGTAACCATTCCCACTTTTACAGTTCCTTCTATCGTTGTAGTTGGTTTACTTCTGTCGACGCCTTTTTTTGATGATGTCTTCACTAACATGGCTAGTGATGTTGAGGTTGTGGACCTTGGAAATAAAGAAAGTCTAGTCCATATGCAAGAACCTCTCGACTCCCCAATAGGCTATAATATTCCTCAGGGCGCCGCTCCATCCTTGGTCACTCTTCCTTCACATAAAGCCGACTTATCTTCCATACTAGCTTCTTTGAAGGCTTGCCTCTCCTCTGGTCTTTT